ACACAGCAGATTCAGAAAAGTTAGTACGTGCTGCAGTGAACTTCAGTGTGTGTGAATTAGTGATAGCGCTGTAGTTACTTGTAGTTAAGATATGTAAGTGCTCAATAAATCCAATTCCCAATCCAACCCGTCTATGGTCACACACATACACGTGACAATATTATTTATTTTTCTTTTATTCTTGGGAGAGTCATCAGCGCTATCTGGCAGAGAAAACTACTAATTCATTTATGAAACATGTGGTTCTCATTACGGTGTAGATGTATATTGTGATGTGGGTTACTATACCGTATAGTCTGGTATTAGGATACCACCGTATTAGGATCGGCTATCTTTTTGCGAAATGATGGTTACCACCAACCAGAGCACAGTAACTGTTAAACACATTTGAACGGCCTCAGAGCAGATAGGAGAACTAAGATTGACCTTAGTCGGTGTTGCATGAAAACGAACAAGTTAGGAAATATAGCACACCGCAACAAATCGAGATCTCTTCCTCTCCCTACATCTCTCGAGTTATGATGTAGCATACAAATTGTGAGCCTGGGTGGATCGTTCGGTTTAGCGACGGGCTACAAGCTGGACGGTCCAGGTTTGGTATCTGGCAAGAAATATTTTTCTCTTCTCCAGAAAGACCAGACAGGCTCTGGAGCCCACACGGTCCTCTCCAATGTGTACCTTTGGCGTTTTCCCCGGAGTTAAAGCGGCGATGGCGTGAAGCTGACCACTCACCTCGATCTAGTGCCGAGGTCAAGAATGGTGGAGTTATACCTCCACTCTGCCATGCATCTTCATATTATAGTGCTTACTTAATTAAGCAAAAGGAAGATTTTACCTTTATTTAACCGAAATTTAAATATTTTGACACACATTAATACAATTCCCCTTTTCCAAACTGAAAGGAAATCCTTAATAAATCACTACATCCGGTCACACTGACAGACGGACATGACGAGGGCATTGGGTGCATTTTTTCAACATTTATATGGAATAGCGCCAAAAACAAACGATTGAATGGGAAAGAAAACATTCGTTCGAACAGTATATTTGGTTTGTGAAAAATTTGGCGTCTGTCATTTTAAAACTCTCTTCAGCAACAATGGAGACAGATGTGTTTTAAAAAAATGTTTATGTATCTGTATATATATTCACAGAGTTCTGTTCTGAAGCGTATCTTTGTAACAATGACATTTCCATTAGGAATAACTTCCCTGTTCCGCCATTTGTACATCCACATAAATTCTGAATTATATTTTTAGTTAAAATCACAAAGCAGTATTACATGCTCTTCCAGGAAGAACCCATTTGGGGTACATGCAATGAATTCTAGTTATGACAACAACGTCAAAGTAGATCGCCAATATAACGCATTCCAGCCATATTTGTATTGTTCTGTTGAATGTCATCCAATTTAACTTCCGACATTTGTGTCAGCCACGCAGATTTTTAAATATTAATTCACTGAAGAAACGACGGAGCAGTTTGGCAGGAAAGGGAGGGGGAGGGGACGTGATGACGGATTTCGAAATTAATAATTGTTTTGCTGCATGGATAACGAGATAGGTAGAACACAATACAGTGCATGTTTCCAAAGGCTCCTTTGATGCTGTGTTATATATTCGTACATATGATGGAGGGTCAGTAAATAGGTCACAAATGCATACAAAACATAAACCACGCATTATTAGAACCTGGGTTAAAACGTCTATTTCTCGACATATCCTCCACCAACAGTGATACATTTGTCCCGTCGCTTTACCCGTGCGTCTAAATCCTCAGTATTGATGTTTTTTTGACTGTTGTATCAGCCACTTCCGCACCTCAGTTTCAACCTCTTCATCATCAGTGAAACGTTTGCCACCAAAGTAGAACCGCTTTACGCCACAAATACTTCCCATTTCTTTATGAAAAATCCTTTGCATTGAGTCCTTTTACCCACAAAGAAACTCATAACAGAACGCTGCTCTTCGGTACTAAACTCCTCAAGTACGGTCGCTATTTTGACTATAGAAGCCAGCCTCTGAACATGCGCATGCGCGTCTGCTACCTAGACTGTCATGAAGCTGGACTGTGCTGCTACCTACTGATGTTAATAGAACATTTATCACGTCAATTACAACTGTTTAACTTCATTTCATGACCTATTTACTGACTCTCTCATATATACGCATATATATATATATATATGACTGCTAGCGATTTATAACAGCAAACTTCCCACAGCAGTGGGTAGAATCACACACAGTCAGTCGAACAGAAGCAGGAGTACAGCACTTCAAACTCTGGGGAAAACTTCTAGTAACAAAATTAATGTATCCTGGGATGTGACAACGAATAATGCAGTAGATGGGTACCGACGTTTCGGAGGAACTTTATTTCGTCTTGTACCGCAACAGTGAAGACAGATGGCGTCATACGTCAGGAAATTAATTCGAACACAGGACGTCGTGAATCCGCTTGAAGGTAGCTGCATGTGATGTATGAGGATTTTGCGGGTTGTCTATGCTCTGCAGGGACAATTTTGTTCATACTGTTTCAAAATAGGATACAATTGTCTTCTTCAGGACGTTTGTGATCATCAGCCTGAGATTTAGGCAGTGCCATAGCTCAGGCTGTTAGGCGCCGGCTTCCCACCGTGGCGGCCCGTGTTCGAGTTCAGGTCAAATCATGTGGGATCTGTTGTGGTGGACAAAAGGGCATTAACGCAGATTTTCTAGGAGTGCTTCGGTTTCACCTGCCAATTCTTAGTCTACCAAATTCCCCATACTCATCTATCGTCCGGGGCTGGTACAATAGGCCAATTAGTGGCCGACGTACCAAGTGGACTCAGTCTAACCCAACCCCAAGAAATTAAATATATAAAAAATCCCGATATTACCTCTGTTTCCGAGGCTAGTGGTAAATAATATGAGCCATTACACTATTTAAATAAACAAAGTAACCGTTTAATTGAAAAATCATATTCACTCTTGATTTACCGTCAGGGATTAGGGCATTAGTTGAAGAAGTGAAAAAAAAAGAAAATTAAGTTGTGCTCCTGATTCCTATTGGGAAGGTCTCGGGTTCGAATGTCGGCACAGAAACCGGCTGTCCCGACTGCTCTTCCTCAGTCCCTCCAGGCAAATAAAGGGACAATACCTCAAATTAGGCCATTACCACTATTTTAAATATAATTTGCAATTAATTATGCAATTACTCGACGCCATAACGTCTGTGATTGAGACAGCATCGTTAAATAATCCAAAAATAAATATATTAGTAATTTTTTCTCTTCATACTAACATCCTCGTCATACCGAAAGAAGTTGGCTTTGTCGGTAATTCTTATGACTTGAATCCAGGAGATATCCAATTCGATTCTCGGCCAGAAAATCATGGATTCTGACGTGGGGATTTCCTTGTTTCCTTCAGCCTCTCCAGCTAAGTGCAGGGATACTATCTTCAAATATATCACAGCAGTTTTTCTTCACGTCCTTCTCAATTCGCCTCTCATTTATCATCCCACGATTATGCGCGGTAGCCGGGATAGCTCAGTCGGTATAGCAACAGGCTGAACGGCTAGGGTTCGATTCCCGGCAGGGGCAAGCGAATTTTCTCTTCTCCACTGCGTCCATACCGGGATACAAGGGATACATTTTAGATAACTGTGTTTTGTAGAACCTTTGTAGGCTTATAGTTCGGACAATATGGTGATGGGCTATGGGCTGGACAGCCAGGGTTTCATTTCTGTCAGGAGAAAAATATTTTTCTTTACTATGCAGCATCCAGACGGACCCTGACGCCCACCTAACGTCCTATCCAATGGGTACAAGGGGCTTTTTTCCCGAAGGTAAAGCGACCGGGGCGTGAAGCTAATCACTCACCTCAATTTATTGTCGAAGTCAAGAATGTTGGAGCTATTTCTCCACCCCACCATATACCTTCATGGCATGGTTCTTAACTAATTAAACGCAGAGACAACTTTAACTTTTCACCTCACTATTCCACGCTTTGTAGTCTGAGCTAATGACGACGTCATTAAATAAGCAACACACGAATAAAATCTCTCAACGTCTCCTCTTGCCTGTAGCGAAACTGTGACGCGGGCTGAACCAGTCCGCCTCTGAAACGACCAACATTTAAGCTCACGAGGCGATAGGCCAGTCTGCTGACCTGTGGACGCGGCGGCATGTAAGTATAGCCTGCGGCACTGTAACCCTCTCACCAGGACACTTGATTCGGTACATACATCTTAAGCCTCTTGGAGCACAGTGGTTATCATGTGTACCACCTGCTTTAACGTAGTAAAACTGCATTCTGCCCACACAGTGTATCTATGTTCCGTACGATTCTCACAGTAAACAACGACTGTTTCCCTGAACAGCAATAACCAACTTTTAGTCAACTTTCCTTATTTTGAACAAAATTAAGCCTATGAGGTCTCCATGCCGTCTGTATATCTGTGTATCTCCCGCATTAGCTTTTCAATGCGTGAACCAATCTTTATGAAAATTTGTATGCATATCATGGCACCTGAGCCAATCTCAACGGTGTACTTCATAAATCATTCCCATCAGTCTGTATCTCTGTACGTGTGTTCGTCCATCGTTGCTAGGAAACGGCTCGGTAGAAATATTACCGATGCAAAGAATACACATCCAAAAATAAAATAATTGTTGGATGTTTCGTTTTCTATGTGATCCTTGACTTTTAAAAGGATAGTAGGCGGTTAGTTTTTCCCGTAATTTCTTGTTACTTACAATGTTTGATATGTGTCCTGTCTTATCTCTGTCGTGGTCTGACATAATTTGTACTTTTTTCTAATACTGGATATTAAGGGCGGATTGTGACGACAAGGAGTGCAGCCCTTGAAGTACAGCACGTTGTTAACCTAGAGTTTCCTTCCGATGCACTGACACGCCGCGATGTCAGTTGTCTCTCAAGCACAAGTAGCAAATGCGTTCGTTCCAGAGTTTGTCACCAGAGTTCAGTATGACTCTAGTGTGCTGTGGCGGCAGGGAGTAGTGCGGTTGCTCACATACGCCGTTAAATTTGTCGGATATTACACAAGTTTTTGTTTCACATTTAATATCTTTAAGAACATTAAGAATGTAGATATCTGTATTACAGTGATAATATAAATGTGGTGTTATCAAGCATAGTGAAGCCAACTTCTTCTGTGGACTACACAGGAAGACATCGTCCAGAGGTAAGATTGTTTATAAACTTTATGAAAAATGGCGATACGTAGCGTTAGCCATGATGATGAGTCTATTGTGTTAGTGTTGTCTGCAAACCTGTGTTCCTAACTTAGATCCATGTTGCCGGATTAATTTTGTCTAAGTTATTATGAATTTATTGTAATTTCATTTTGAAAGACGTATCATTGACGATTGCTAGCAGAACACGTTTGGGTGGCGGGGAGGGTAGTGAAACGTGTGTAGAGTTCCCTAGGAACGCCACAGGAACATGGGTCTGTCTGATGGGGCAGTACAACAAGGCTGCTTCTCTGCACGATTCGTATTGCCGTCACGGGCTAGTGACTATACCGAGTAACTGGAATTACTGAACCCTTACAACTCGTAACTAAAAGTAATTTATAACCCTCTCGTTAATTCGCGCTCTCGACTTCTCACGACAAAATTCCTTAAGTGTACTCCGTCTTCACTAGCCGTTACCTCTTCTGTTCACGTCGCTACCGGTCACGACTGCCATCTCAACTAACTCTGCTGTTGACTTTCAACTGTCCCATGACGGTGACTATTGCTTTCATTATATGTTGACACGGAAACCAGTAGTTCCATGTTACTTGTCGGCCGTTACCACACAACGGACGATTTTCTTCTGGCTCTCAGGTGTCTTGTCACAGTATATTAAAACCTGGTATGTTGAGGATTACTAAAATAGGACCGGGCATATCGACACAACTGATATCCTTTGTAAATCATATTGTCAATTTCATTGCTTTGAAACTTCGAGGACACTTTGTACTGCTTAAAACATTCTTTGCTTTTTAATCATTGACACTTTAGGCTAAAGACATATGAGTGTCGATCTTGTCTTCCATTAAGATTATTTCTTAAGCATCTCTGTCTGCCACGCAGCTGCTTGTTGAAATAAATTCATTGGAGTCCATAGAGTAAGTTGAGTGGGAGTCTAGCAATAGACTGCCTTGTACAGTAGTTTCTGTGTGTTGGATTTTTTTAATATTTATTCTTGGTTTAATGATTCTCACATTTCCAGGATTCATGTCGGTCGTCAAACTGGTTCGTGTAGTGCGGGAAATCCGGGTTATAAAAACTTGCAATTCAGAGCTACAGTTTTTACAGCTTTGTAAGTTTTGACGGCCACTCAGAGACCGCAGTTCATTACGGAGCCTTTTTTCCTGCAGCTGTTTTTGGCTTTAGGACTTGATTCACCTTTCCGTATTTGCTATTTACAGCTCTCACAGCCTTCTCTAAATTAACACATAAAATTTACCTGCAGTATTTCACAACCATCATTAGATTATGAGGTGCTTCTGTTCTATGTAGGTAGCCAAAATTGAGGTTTTCTGATTTTCAACTTAAAAATTAATATACTGCAAACAAACTTAACTAATTGGCCGCACCATAGCTCAAGTGGTTAGTCGCTGGCTTCCCACCGCGGCGGCCGGGGTTCGATCCCTGGTCTGGTCAAGTGGGATTTGTGGTGGAAAAAGTGGCGCTGGGGCAGGTTTTCTCCGAGTACTTCGGGTTTCCTTGCCAATCTTCATTCCAGCAATTGCTCCACAATCACCCTCACCTATCATCTGGGGCTGGTACAATAGGCCAGAAGTAGCCCCAGTACAAGGGACATAGTCCCACACCACTAGCAATAAAATAAATAAAAAAATAGTCCCACTCCACTAGTATTCGTAAGAAAAAATATTAGTTAAGCACTATGCTATGAAGGCTTATGGGGGAGTGGATGTATAGGTCCATATTTTCTTGATCTCGGCACTTGTTGGAGGTGAGTGATCAGCTTCACGCCCCTGCTGCTTTACCCCCGAGAAAAGAGCCCCTGATGAAATCTATATATTAGCTATCGAAAATATATTTCAGCATACTGTGACATGTCTAACCGTTGCTGGGCAACGGGAGGTGGAACGAGTTACCACGAAGACAGACCCTTGATAAACCGTCGGTTGCCAGGTTACGCGGTGTTTCTCCGTACTGTGCCGAACAGAGCCGAAGTGAGCCGAAGCACGATGGTTGCTACGCAGCAATAAACAACTCTTGGCAGCGTTGCCCAGCAACACCTGTAAACACGGCGATTACGCAAAAGGGAAGCGAGGCACGTTTTCCGCTGTCCGACTGAGGGCTTATAAGAGTTACCAGAGAGAGAGAGAGAGAGAGAGAAAGAGTAACCAGTCAGTTTCAATCTAGCAGTCGCCGAGTCGGGTTGTATCGACTGCATGACAGTGACTACAGGAGAATTATTGATACTGCCGATGACAGTAGTTGGGAAATCGTGAATTGTGTGATTGTGAGAGCGAGTGTTCAATAAATTCGCTACATCCAAGACGGCGTAAAGTTATTTGTCGCGTTATACGCCCAATACGTGACAATACGTCATACTACGTGTCAACGTTGTATGGATGACATAGCTGTTTACACTATACAGGGTGTCCCAGGAGGAAAGGTCAATATTCTGGGAGGTCATAGTATCGGTCATTCTAAGCAAAAATATGTATGTGTATGTATCCTATTCGGAACGATTTCCAACATAGAGCAATTTCACTGTACAGTTCCAAAATTGTTGATAAGGAGATATTACTTACTGTTTCTAATACCGGTATTTATTGTTCAAGTGACAAAGTTGGTACAGTTTACATAGTATAATATAAAAAAAGTAAAGTAAAGCTATCCCTATCGGCTCAAAGATGGCGGTAAGATTTTCATCCTTACGCGCCGGCGGTCCGCTACTCCCCAGGAAAATTATTTAATTAATTGCTGGTACTCATTTTTATTAGAGGCTGAGTCGACCCCAGGAGCATAGTGCGGCTGGAAGGATTTGGTCAATTGAAAAAAATCCAATGACCTTATCGGGATTTGATCCCGCGATCTTCCGGCTTGTGGCATAGTGCCTCAATCAACTACGCTACCGCGTGCCCCACCTAGTATAATATATTTTTGAAAATTTCACCGTCAACATCAATGCATTTTGCACTGAGGACATGGCGTTTCTAGTGTGTACAGTGCACAGTGTACTTACTTACTTACTCATGGAGCTGAGCCCTTCTGGAGGAGCCGCCAATTCTGCAGCTACTCAAGAACTTCCCAGCATTCTATGGAACCCGAAGGTTCATTACCATGTTCACAAGAGCCCTCCACTGGTCCCTATCTTGTGCCAGATCAATGCAATCCATTACATCCCATCCTATCTAAGATCCATTTTAATATTGTCCACCCATCTACGCCTCGGTTTTCCAAGCGGTCTCTTTCCTTCTGGCTTTCCCACCAATATCCTATACACATTCCTCCTCTCTCCCATTCGTGCTACATGCCCTGCCCACCTCATCCTCCTTGACTTGATCATTCTAAGCAACCAACATGTAACTACTTGTTTCCGAGGCAACATATAATGAAAGCAGTAATCGCCGTCATTGGGCAGTTGAGAGTCAACGGCAGAATTAGTTGAGATAGCAGTCGTGACCGGTAGCGACGTGAACAGAAGAGGCAACGGCTATTGAAGATAGAGTACACTTAACGAATTTTATAGTCAGAAATTGAGTGAGCGAATTAACGAGAGGGTTATAAATTACTTTTAGTTACGAGTGTAGTATGCAGTGAAATAGCTCTATGTCGGAAACCGTTCGGAGTAGGACACATGTACATACGTGTATATAGGACTTTTCTTAGAATGGCCGATATTATGATCTTCCAGAATATTGACGTTTCCTCCTGGGACATTCTGTATAACGTTGACGCAACCGCAAAGGTAGTTTAAACACAGCGTACTGCTAATATGTGGCAGTGAAACCTGTCCTAGTGTACCCCGTGCTCGTATAGGTTTTCCCATCGTAGTCCACTGATCACCTGCGATGTGTGAAGTTTGAGGTACTGACAGCGGTGACTGTGAAGATTACTGTCCTGTGAGATATAACGTACTGGAAGCGCTTAGGAGAACCCTGCCTTCATCTTCAGGAAACAAGAGTAAGCCGAGCATGGAAGAATTTTGTAAATACATACGTTGAGAGAAAAATGGCATATGCCATGAGATCACGGTCTTCCTTGATATCACATTCTTCCACACTTTACCTACATTTCTACCATGACGATGGTGGCAGCGGATTCCTCCGAAACGTCTATGAACATGAGTCAGAAATTGTGGTGTTACATTTTTACTTGTGTCTTGAATGTGGTCAGCAAATATTTCTGTTGAATGAGGTTCCTTTCTCTGAACTCGTCTACATTTCTTACGCTTGCATTGCTATGTCATTTGGCGACTTGATTTGCATGTCAGAAAGTGGTTAGACTCTATACGTAAAGGTAGATAACTTAAAAGACCCAAACTCTACAGTACTGATTGGTGAAGAATAACAGGGACTGATTTGAAGAAATTATTGCAGCATATGTTTCGATTGACTGAGAAAAATCACGTAAAACTATCCAGCCGCTTTGCAAAAACGATAAAAATTGTGAGATGTAATCTTCAGGTGAAGGGTTCGAATCTCGGGCGGTATACAGTCCATCCGGACTGAAGTTTATCATGCTTCTCTTCATTCCTAGCTAAGGGGGGGGGGAAAAAAAAGAAGAAAAAATATTAGGCCACCACCACTTCCTTACACTTCCCAGTTCATTATTCATCATTCAGTCATTCGACGGTGGAACATCTCGATATATCGACAGCTTCGTTAGTAAGTTACAAACGAACAAACAAAAAACCTACCGTTTTACAGGCGGGATACCTGTCTTTTGCAAGTCAGAAACGCCACAGCTTAAATCAACTTGCTCCGTACCTAGATGACTTAAATAATATGGCCCCCAGGACCAGAAACTGTTGATCACATGGTCGACGGAGTTCTCAGTACCCCCACCAGTTGTCACATGATTCTCGCTCGCTCCCTCTTTCCGAATACGAGGGAAGGAGGCTCCCGCAACGCTAGCTCGCTCTGTCTCTCAGTTTATGATTGGTGTTGAGGAAGAAGTGGTGCACAGTGTAAGCAACTTGAGGCGGCCGACTTAC